CTTGGACAAGGGCCAAAACCATTCTTCATGATGTACTTGCAGGTTCATTTGACGGAGCCAGAAATCACTGTCACAGATCAGGGAGTCAGAGAACGAACAGACTACAGAGAAGTAGAGACAACGATGTTCGCCGACGTTTTTCAAACCCTTACGTCAATGAATTGAGTTGTAAATTCTGGCTGCCGACCGCACACGGCCACTTGAATTGTATTCACCTTTTTATAAAAGTTGTTAAGTGCTGCTGCCGTTCACAGGCTACAAAACCGCTTCAATTTGTACTCACTAACCAACCATAATTGTTTGCCATGGCAACCACCAGTACAAAAGTAAATACAGCAGAAGAAGTTTGATGAGGTGGCGAGCTTATCAGCGACAAGGGGAAGAATGGAAAAAGGAGGAGACCTGGGGTGTGGAGAGTCAAAACACTGCCTAGTCAGACCCTAAAACGCCACCTTATCAGTTATTGACCCGGATAGATCCCTAAATATTATGGCGTAGTGGGAATATGCAGACTGTAGTTATATATGGCAGAGCGAGGGAGAGAATGCTTTGAGAAAAGATGAAAGGAAGATAATGAAACAGGGACTGCAAAGGAAATGAAAAACCACCCGGGCGTGAGTGCCGAATTTTTGGCGATCAAAGCTTTTTTCACCGTTTTTAGCGACCGAACGCCAGCTTCTATACTCAGGCATAAAAAACTGATCACTTGTAGATTCACTGAAGCTCTAATTGGCATGTAGTCTCTATAGAGTAAAGGGTGATAGTTTTATCAGGATAGAATAAAAAGAGCTCATCGATCAAACAAAAGGTACTCAAGAAAAATCGCATATAAAAGGTCAAAAATCTCGAGGAGCCAACGGCAAATTTTAAGGTAATAGTCACTCGTCAAACGCTCCTGGAACTTGAGCTAGTAACCCAGAAAAATATTCCACGGTTGTCGGATGGGCGGTCAATAATCGCACATCAACATGGATATTGAAACATCGGGCGGTCGAACACCCATCACAATGGTGCCATTCTCACTGGGGATCCCTTTCACTGTAATGAATTTCAAGAAAGGGTGTAACACTAAGGAAGTCCGTGAATTCTCATGTCGATCTGATGAACGCAGAATATACTGATATTTAATATTTGATATATGATAATATTATTATAATATTTGATGTTTAAATTCATCTGATGTCTGAAGCGAGTTTATTTAGATTTTGCAGGGAAGACACTGAAGACCTGCGTAAGGAATGGGTTTTTAGACGGAAGTCCCAGGCTTGTTTCACTTGCAGCTTAACCGTGGTATATCTCAAATGGATGACTATAAGGGATGACTGAATA